CTTCTCCTGAAAAGAAGCGACAATCAAAAGTGGCCTGAGAACCACCTATGTAACTCATTTGGTTCAAGATTCAATTGGTATGGCTCCCATGGAAAACCGTATGAAAGCCCCTCAAAAAATGAAAAAGAGAACTACCATCTAGTCCAGCAATCCCACTTGAGGTATGTATCCAAAGGAATACCTCACAGCACGAATTTATAGAACATTCACATCCCCACGAGTGAGTAGGCATTCACTAGGTACTGTCTCATGAGCCTAAGTGACATGGCTGGCCTGGGAATGAATTCCTGGGAAAGAACCAGCAGGCTAGATTCCATCTCAAATTCAGAACAGGATTACCTTCTCTTTCCATGAGAGCCCTGATCTGAGAGACTGTCACCAACTGGAGAGTCACCTTTTTGGAATCTTCAACTGTGTGACTTATTTTGAAGTGCCAATACACAGCAGATTGACCTCTTAAACCATCCATTTAGGTTTTCTTGACCCCTGACTCCAATGAAGTCAGTCAAGATGACTTTGATGGGCAGTGGAAACAAGTGTGTGTGGAAGGGGAAGAAGGCCTCACGGTTATCCTTAAGTTTCACAATTGTCTTGACTAGGAAATAGGCAGTTTTGATCATCACCGTGTTACCTGGGGAACGAACATGGGCTTAGGGCAGGATTTTCTCAGTATCTCGGGCTTCAGGTTTTCACTAAGTAAGAAGCTATCACGACACCCATCTTTCACAGCTTTAAAGTAATGTTCCCAATTACAGAGATAATCATGGCCTCTTAAAACTACATACTTTAGTTTCCAATCACAAAAAAATGTGGATTTTCTTTTAACATTCGCTGAATGAAATTCAGCTTCTCTGATGCCACCTTCTGGGTAAAACCCGTGCTAATAAAGCAAGAGAGTAGCCTGAGGTTTCTATTAGCCTACAGCTTAGAAGTGTCTTGGAATGCACCTTAGAAAAGTTCATATTTCTATTTAGTGCTCCGCCCCACCCCAACTGTAAAAATTCTTACATAGATTTTCAACAAATTAACTACTGCCCAGAAAAGATGTAACTTTACAGACAATGAAAGAGACGAGACCGTTTCAGCAGTGCCAGTTAACAAGCACCCTCTTGGTCCCGGAACTTGGTGCTGAGCCACATCAGCTTCGGCATAAGGCGTCAGGGATGGCCACACAAGAAAGTGGCTCAGAGGAAGGCAAGGTGTGATTTGCTGGGCTAACTCTTGGCATCATAGCAGGATTTAAAAGGCTGGTTTCCAAACAGAAGCCCTGTGATATCTGAGGAAAGTTGCTGGCCCTGTGAAAGGAAACAAACTTTTGGTTGACATAGGGGCCTGGACAGGTAGGGAGATGAGCTAAATGAAACCACAATAATCTGTTCCCATATTCTGCAAATGGTGTGCTACTTCCTTCAGTAACTCCTGTGTGCTGAGCACTTTATAAGAATCATACAAGAGATATCCCTGAGAGCAAGGTGTGATTCCCAATTGGCAAATGTGGAAATTGAGGCTCAAAGATGACAGTAAGAAAGAGTCAGACTCAGACACTAAAATTTATTTTTAATGAAACAGGAAGCATTGTCTCAGCAACATCTGCAAGGCAAAAAATAACAATATCGCACCCCCCGCCCCTCCCTCCCACAAAAATGGCAGAAGGGTAAATATTTAATGAAGTCTTGACCTGCATATTACTTGAATTGTAAGCCTACATCTCCAGGACCCCTGCAAAGTAAATGCCCACCCACTTAGAGTGGGGATTGACTGGGAAACTATCATGCTCTGCCACTCACTTGCTGTACAGGCCTCATCTTTCTCCGCTTTCCTATACAGAGCTGGCTTGGAATTACATTCAAATCCATGTTGCCCGACCTGAATGAAACAGCACTCCCACAGTCTCTGGGGAAATTTGTTTTTCACAATCCCATCTAGTCCAGTCCCAATCCTGCTTCTGCCTGGCATTACAAGTGTTTTCCAAAAGGATAGAAAGACAGATCCGTACTCTGATGTGAAGATGGCAAGATCAGGCTTTTTGGAAAGGTGACATTCTAATATATTCACTATGTTTGTAATAATGGCACTCACGCTGAACTGGAACAAGATGCCACTGACTAGTTAAAGACATCGATTATAAACTTAGTGTCTGAGCAGCGCTCAGGGAGTGATCCTAACATTGTTGCAAGCTCGTATCCTAGAGACCCAGGGAAGATATTTCAACACCATGTTACAAAACGTTGCAGCTGACGGGATGGATGCTACCCTCCTCCCAGCATTTGTGGCCCCACAGAACATAAGGTTGCACTTACTCATCTGGAAGGTCTCTGACAGTTAATTCCGGGTCGACTCTCTTCTCCTTACAGGCCCATCGCCTGGCCAGTACTAGATTTTGCCATCACAGGTCCTGAAGGAAACAGTGATTATACAGATCTACAAGGAGACTTGCTTACAGATGGACAGTCTAACACAGCTGCAGGAAAATTAGGTAAGTTGGAAGCTCGTACCATGAGTGGCTGGGGCAAACTTCCCCTTTCCCTGATCCACAAAACACCAAGGCAGCCAAGGGCCGTCAGCTGTCCTAACACCGCACGTGATCCCTCAGAGACTTACTGTCTCATTTCACGTGGGAAAGAACAGAAAGACCCTCAATGGTTAAGCAAGGTCACCAAAATGGCCAAGATCAACATTTGAAGCAAGCCCCGGCAACGATATATCCACCCCAAATGCCCTACAACAGAAAGCAGAATCAGCTCCATGGCGGGCACCACTCACCAGTCAGACTGTCTGGCATCCCCACCCACCCAGCCAAACGCTGCCACCCTTCCCTCACTTTAAGCCCCAAACATGACAAAGCAGTAAGACCACAACTGGGAAGGAGGCTCCGAGACCCACGTTTAAACAAAGAACGTCTTCACGTTTCATCACGCCCGTACAATAATACCCAACACCAAACCCGGAAGTGCCTGAGAGATCGTCTCCGCCATCCACCCAGGACCCTGCAGACACATCTGTCAATGTGTCCATGAGGACACACCATCTACCCGACTCTCCAAGTGACACTGGAGATGGTCAGATACGAATAAATGAGTAAAACTTACACTTTTCCGATCTCTGGAAAGGGAGCCGCCATGTTAAAACCCAACCGAGGAAAACGGTCTACGGAAGGCGCCACAGCACGATCCAGACAGTCAAGAGCTTAGGCACGCGCTAGGGCCTCTTCCACAACGTTTCAGGGCCCCGCCTCCCAACATCGTCATTGGTGGGCCTGCGATGATTGACGGGGAGTTTGGCCATTCCTCTCAGGTAGATCTTCTGGAGGGAAACTGTCCATTTGCCAAGGCCCAGGTGACGACATGAAATCTCTGCTCATATTCCTATGTCTTTCTATATCCCTGTCCATCCCTCAATTCCTAGCTCTACTTCTTAGGCCCTTGCACATACCTTGTGCTTTGTTTATTGTCATATTAGACTTTGGAAAGCATTTATATTCAATTCACCCAGACCTAGATTAATTCCATCCACCTCCAGGGAGCCTTCCAGGTTTTACTCCTTCCAGGCAAAATGTGAGTTTTTCATATGAGATATGGACATGGAGATGTATCAGAGCAGAAATGCAGAGGACTGTTTCTGAGCCCTGGGGTCAGATAGTACTGGGCTGTGCATGGTGTGAGGGACCTAAGGTTTACACTTGGATATTTTGCAAGTCAGTTCAGGTTGCAGACATTTGAGGAAGATGAGGGAACACTGACAACAGGCTAACTCTTAGAAGCTTGCTAGAATTGGTACCACCCTTTTCAGGAATTCCATATCCTTTCCTGCTTTTCTGTCTGTGAAAATCTTGTCCTTCCTACCAGGCCCAGGCATAAATCACTTCCCTAGCTCTTTTTCTGAATTCATGTTCCCACCCCAACCACAAGAGTTATTTCTCCTATTGCTATAGGAAGGAAGTAATGAGGATTTCATATCTCTGCTGCAAATGTCACTAAGCTTCATGGTTATGCAAAATGAGACTGGAAGCCCACTTCTTTCCACGAGGCTTCTTACTGAGAGATTTCTGCACCTGCTCTCAAATTGTGAGTTGTACAAACAAGAAGACACAGTTTCCCCTAGGCCTGACTTCCTTGAGTGTTGAACTCATCTACACTCCACATTGTGTGTGGACCACATAGCCAGTGGGTCCCTTAACTAGACTGTGTGGCCACAGTGCCCAGTGCTCTAAGGAAAGATGATCTGATGCTAGCACTGTCCTTCCCGTGGGAGAGATCCTTTAGGAGGGTATCTGAGGCTGCGTGGTGTGCACAGTGTTATGCAGCAGTCCATGACATGGCCCTACCTACTGGGACGGCTAATTTTACGTGCCACCTTGACTGGTCATGGAGCGTCCAAATTAAACATTATTTACGGTTGTATCTGTGAGGGTGTTTCTGGATGAGATGAGCATTTGAACGGGTGACTTAGTGAAACAGAAGGCCTTCCCCAATGTGGGTAGACATCATCCAATCCATTGAGGGTCCAAATGGAACAAAAGGTAGAGAAAGGAAAAATTATCCCCTTTTTTCCCTATCTCACTGCTTGAGATAGAACAAGTCTCCTCATTTTCTCCTTCTCCTCAACTTGGATTCACACCACCAACACCCCTGGTTCACAGGCCTTGAGAATGGGACTGAGTTATACCACTGTTTCTCCTGGGTCTGTAGCTTGTAGTGAGGAGATTGTGGAATTTCTCAGCCTACATAATTAGAGAACTAAACTCAAGATAAACCTGAAGATAGAT